TCCACCCAAGTGCTGGACTAGAGGCTGGAGAAGCTGTGAGCACTCAAGGAAAGGGACAGGGGAGATGGGAATGCAGTAGGAGGATGTTCCCAGAGCCAAGCTCCTCTTGCCAAGGAGAGTTTTGTCAGGAAACACTTTCAGAGAGCAGCCACACATCTCCCTGCACAGTGCCAAACACCACAGGGGCTTCACCTTGTCCATGGTCTTCCCCAAAATCCTACAAATACTAACATGTGGATTAGCCCTTTGGGAAAAAGGAGCTGGAAGAAGAGTGGTTAGCTCACAGCCAGCAGAATTCCACCTCCAGCAGCCACGTGCCAGCAGGAAAGGGAAGGTTATTTAGGTCATTGAGGTGACTCAGCCTCAAAGGAATCTTTATCCCTCACAGATTCCAGCGAGTCCTGCATCACCCTCAGAATGTCTGGCTAATTAGAGCATCTTTGTGAGACACATCGGATGCTGATGGCTATTTTGGGCTCTCAAATGAGCTCTTTGCAGACTCCAGGCTAGAATCTGCCTGGAGTATTGCTGTGGGAGGGAGGGAGATGGTGCAGGGCATGTTTGCAAAATACTTGGGGAGCACAGACAGTTATATTTCAATGTATATTAAGCTTTCCAGTTTGCCAGAAGATGAAAAGTCTTGCACATAAAACACATGTACCAAGTGCAAGGCACGAGCTGGATCAGTCCCCAGGCAGCAGCAGCACCAGATCCACTTCTACTGGGTAAAAAACTGCATCAGAATAGATGATCTCTAGCAAATCTTTTCCACTTGATATAAAAGCTGTGCCTATTAAGAGAGAAACGGGAGAGATTGGGACAGTGCCAGGGAAATTGATGTTCCAATTACATTGTAAATGAAGATGAATTTGATAACCAGGCCACAAATCCAGACGTGTTATCACTCCCCCTTAGCAGGAGCCAATTTTCAAGGCAAAAGGGAAGGAATTCAGGGTAATCTCACTGCTGCAGCGTTTCCACACATTACCTCTTCCTTGTTCCTAATATTCCTGATAAGAGAAGCTCTTTGGGGAGCTTGACAATTCCATGTAAAATTAGATTTGTGTCCTTTTGTGTCCTATGCCCAGGCTGTCCTTTGAAGCTGTTAGGCTTGTTCAGCACTGCAAGGGTTTCTGTCCTTGTTCTTTTATTTATGGAGCTCAGGATTGGAGAGGAAGCATTTAGCTGTTCCCAAAGGAAAAGCTTTGGGCTGCAGCTTTGGGGCCTGAGGGGAAAGATGTGTCCTTGCTGTAGGAGTAGGTCACTCTAGTGATGTATGATCATCTCCACACTGAGGTAACCAACCTGTTTGCAACCACTTCCATTCATTTGTGAAAGGAATTTGTTGGAGCAACTCTGGCTGCTCCATCCCTGGGAGTGCTCCAGGGCAGGTTGGACGGGGCTTGGAGCAACCTGGGCTGGTCTAGGTGTCCCTGCCCGTGGTAGGGGGTGGGACTGGATGGGGTTTAAGGTCCTTCTAACCCAAACTGTTCTATGAGTCCATGAAATGTGCCCTAGGATCACTGATGGAGCCAACTCACAATGACATCAGACATGAATCCATAAAAACTGAGCAGGCAGGAGCCAGATCCAGTCTCAGATCCCACTGCTGGGGCCAGAAGGGGCAGAACAAACAAGGTGTTCTTGGGCAGCACAAGCTCTCAAACCTGCAGTGTGTAATCTGAGTGCACTGTGGACTCCTATAGAATTCCCATTCCCACAGCAGCAGGTAACAAATCCCTGCCCATGGTAATGGGTTGGGAACCAGATGATCCTTCCAACCCAACCCAACCTGTGATTCCATGACATCTAACCCCTCCTTGCTGCTGAGAGCCCTCCCCAAGCACAGCATCTCCTCCAGGAACACACATCCCATTTCCCTCTGCCCAAATCCACTTACACCTCTCCTTCCTGACAGGATCCCAGCAGGAGAGCTCAAGGCAGAACCTCCTCCACACCTTGACCTCTTGCAAGAGCATCAACCACGGGAGCAACTTCCCATTTTTTCTTTGTGTGGAATACGAGGAATGGCTCGAATTTAGCAGCTCAGATGGTGCCACCACCACCTCCTCCTCCTCCTCCCCCGTGGAATATGTTGGCAGCTTCCAACAGGTTGTAAAAATAAACAAACTTACCCACTTGGTGCTGCCCCTGCTCCTCCTCACCCAAGTGATTCACAGCTCTGCACTCTTGACTCCTGCAAATGAAAGACATTTGTGAGGCTCCTTAATGGCAGCATGAAAATCTCCCCCCAAAATTAAAAAAAAAATAAATCAAAACCCCAAGAGAAGAAAAGGCTTCCTGCATGCAATTACACATGAAGGAAAACATGCAACTTCTGCTGAGCTATGGACATTGCACAGGGAAGAGCAATCCTGGGGGAGGGGAGGGAAGGGGGGGCTGAAAAGTTGACATTTTTAAGGAATTTGGGGTTGATTTTTTTTTTTTTTTGGCAGTAGCAGGACTAGCTATATTCAGTTTTCATTTTCCATCCTTGCATATTTAAAGCTTGCCCATTCCTTTTTGCCCACATTTCCAGCACAGTGCATTTTCCAAGGGCACATTTAGTCAAGTTAAAGAGCTAATTTAGGCAGAAACATGTGGGTTTGGTTGGTTGGGTTTTTTTTTCTTTTAAAATTCTTTATTTTAAACATTTTTTGTTGGTTTTTCTTTTTTTTTGACATTAAAATCACCATCTGAAGCCTTGGCTCGATAAAGTTTATGCAAGTTGCCGTCACAGTTTATGGAAAAGAGAAATGTGCTATTAAAATCAGACATTTAGGTTACCTTTTTTGGGCTTTGCGATGCATGTTAGCTTTACATCCTGATTCTCCTGCGATAACTTTCCTTTAAAAGGGGGGGATAGGGTGATCTTTTCCTCAAGCAACACATTATGCCCTGAAATCTGACTCCAAACCAGCGTTGAGAAGTTATTTGCACTTGAATAACAATCTACAAACACAGTTGGTGTTGGTTTTTATTTCCCACCACGGTACTTAAAAGCTTCCCTAATGGTTCTAATTTTTTTTTCTTTTTTTTTTTTTTTTCACCCCCGAGTAGTTTAGGTTTCTCCCCCTTCAAGAGGTGTAAAAATTCACTTGGGAGATGGGAAACACAAACCATTTTTCTCATGTCTCTTGACTTTTCAGTGGCTATAGATAATACACCTAAGACATCCACACATTCTCACAAGGATTTAAGGAGCACAATTCGTCAACAAAAAGACATTTTCAAGTGGTTTTTTTTTTTTTTCCCAAGTGGGGTTTTTTTCCCATTTTTTTTCCCAAGTAGGAAAAGCATCAGCTTAACCAAAGAGCAACTTCCTTCTCCTCCTGGTGGCAGCTAAGCCTTGGAATTTGCAGCATTTCTTTTGCTGCTTCAACCAGCATCGAAAAGCTCTGGAGTTGGAGTATCCTGAGACCACCTGAGAGCTCAATCAGTCACTTTAAGACCCAAGAAACCACTTGCCAAGGCAAATTCATGCCCCAGTCCAAGCTCCAACTGCTTTTAACAACTTCCAGGGGGTGAAAAACAATTTATCTCCTTTTTTTGTTGTTGTTGTTTAAATTGAAGCTCATTTAACTTCCAGGGGGTGAAAAACAATTTATTTCCTTTTTTTGTTGTTGTTTAAATTGAAGCTCATTCCATGAGCTCCATCACCTTTTCTTTTTTTTTTTTCCTGTGACTATTACAGGAAAAAAACCAAAACACCATTACTTTTTTAGATTTTTCTCCAAAGTTTTTTGAAAAAAAAAAAAAAAAAGACAATTAAAGCTTTAGCATTAAATTTAAATGGATTGGAAGAACCAAAGGAAAATATAAAAGAAGGAAAAAAAATGAATAAAAAAAGCTATTTTCTCTCTCCAGCAAAACAAATGACAATTCATCACATTTACTTTGATTAAAAAAGGACTAAACTTTATTGACAAATTGCGACAGACAATTGTGACATTTTAGCTACCTATTTAGGCAGACTTTACACATGTAGCAGTTTAAATCTTCCAGAACAGAGTGGGAGGACAGTGTACAAATCCAATTAGGACTTTAGCTTATGTACAAAGTAAAATTTTTGAGTCCTTTTGGGTCCTTTTGGTTTTTTTTTGTTTTTTTTTTTTGGTTGTTTTTCTTTTTTTTTTTTTTTTTTTTGTTCAGCTGCAGTGTCCCTTTTTATGTAAAGCTCGTGCTGAGATACACTTGAACAAGTTGTTGGCACTGCTAAGAATGAGAAAGTTTTAGTTTTAAACTACATTATCTGCCCCAAGCATGAGGAAAAAAATGAGAATTTGATAGAGTTCAGGGTTACTCATGGAATATTTTGCTTTCTGCTAGCAAATATTGGGCAGCTAGAGTTATGTTTTGTTGTTTGTTTTTTTTTCCCCCTTAAAAGTTTAGAGCTAGACCCAAACTAAGAACCCCTTTTTCCCTGGAAAATTTCCCAAGCATATCTCAACACTGCACGGGGGCTAGATTTCAAAATCCACGTAAGAAAAGTCAATTTTACACATCTAATTTTGCTTTTAAAGTCAATTCTCTTTAGTAAAACAAAAATGCTATTTAATCAGTTGGAGGATCCTTTGTATTTAGAATTGAAGTTTCAAGAGTCACCAGAAATCTCCTTTTAAAGAAAGTTTTGACATCTGAGGTTACTTTTTTTTTTTTGTTTTAAAGTGGTGGCAGCAGCTGTTCTGTTAAATGATGATTTTTAATGCTTACAAAAAAAAAATAGCCCTGAATTTTGAAATGTAGCCTAATTTGGGATTCTGCAACTATAACCTTTAATGGGTTCCTGGAAAGCAAACTCTGTTTTAACCAAACCTTAATTTTCAAACTGCTAAGCAAAGCATTTTTTTTTTCCACTGTGGAAACTAACATTTTTTAACTATTTTTTTTTTGTTGTTTTGTTGGTTTTTTCTCTCCTTAAAAAAAGGTACAGTTCTGTTTTATCTAAAGACAAAGAAAGAAAAGCCATCTACACACTGAAAAAAAAAATAATAAAAATTAAAAATTAAACTTGCTCCCTTCTAAAGCTATTTAACTCCTCTTTTTAAAAGTACTACATACAAGAAGCCAAAATGCAGGGGGAGGATGAAGTGGGGAGAAAAAAGGGCCACGAAGAAAAACAGGGAGACAATTACTTGTCTGCTGTGGGTAAAGCAACAGGAATCCTGGGAGATACAAGAATCAGTAACAACTGTTTGCTCATAAGTGGGATTTTTCCCTCAATTTGAGTTTTAGTAGCGTCCATAGGGGTGCTCTCTGTAGCCCCCCTTCACTGGCCTGGCCGGAGGGGCCTTCAGGGAGGGTCGTGTCCCATTCCAGTCATCTTGTCCTGGGGAAAGAGAAGGAAAACAGAGGATCATAGAGGGTTAAAGGCTTGGGATGGAGCTTAGAGATCATCCAGTGCCAACCCATGGGCAGGGAAACCCACCAGAGGTTGCTCAAGGGTTGGGGTTGTCACAGCCTCCCTGAGCAACCTGTGCTAGTGTCTCAGCACCCTCACACTGAAAAAACTCATGTAATATCTAATTTAATTTCCCTTGTTCAATTTCTCCCCATTGCTCTTTGTCCTGTCACTGCAGTTCCATAGTATGTGAAGGGGTTGGGATGGAGCTTAGAGATCATCTAGTGCCAACCCCATGGGCAGGGAAACCCACCAGAGGTTGCTCAAGGATTCAGCCAACCTGGAGTGAACATCACCAGGGTTGGGGAATGCACTACCTCCCTGGGCAACCTGTGTCTCATCACCTTCACACTGAAAAAACTCTTCTAATACCTAACCTAAATTTCCCTCGTTCAATTTCTCCCCATTGCTCCTTGTCCTGTCACTGCCGTTTCATAGTATGTTAAGGGGTTGGAATGGAGTTTAGAGATCATCTAGTCCCAGCCCCATGGGCCTGGACACTTCCCACCAGAGCAAGTTGCTCAAGGCTTTATCCAACCTAACTTTGAACACTGCCAGGGTTGGGGCAGCCACATCCTCCCTGGGCAACCTGTGCCAGCGTCTCACCACCCTCACAGCAAAGAATTTCTCTCTAATATCTAATCTAGATTTGCCTCTTTTCAATTTATCCCCATTCTTCCTCATCCTATCACTCCAGTTCCTAATGCACAGTCCCTCTGCAGCTTCCCTGGAGCCCCTTCAGCTCCTAGAAGGAGCTCTGAGGTCTCTACACAACCTTCTCTTCTCCAGGCTGAACAGTCCCAACTCTCTCAGCCTTCAGGTAAGAAAGTTCTTCCTCATGTTGAGGTGGAACTTCTTGTGGTTTAGTTTATGGTCATTGCTCCTATCACTGGAAAGAGTTTGGCACCATCCTCTGGACACCCCTGGGAGACATCTGCATGGATTGATGGGATCCCCTCTCTGTCTCTTCCTACACTAACCAGGCAAGGCAGGACCTGGATAATTGTGCCAGAATAATGACATCCCTACACTGCAGGAGGACAACAGTGTCCACAGAATTTCCAGGCACTGTCTGTTTTTGACTTCAACCCTCCGTGAATGCAGGAAAACTCACAGCTCATGGAGCAGCTGCTCCTGTTTTGGGAGCAGACAGACACCACTTGCTGGTGCTGAAGCAGCTAACAGGACACAGCACTCCACAGGACAGCCCAAACCCTTCTGCCACACAACCTGTGCTCCTGGAAGGTGTCTCTGCCCATGGCAGGGGGTGGAAGGAGATGAGCTTTAAGCTCCTTTTCACCTCAAATAATTCCAGGACTCCACAAATCACCAGCAAAGCACATGGAGTTGACATCCCTGTTGTCCCTGAACCAGCTCCAGCCCCAAATTTCCCAGCTCAGCTCTCATTAGTGCTTGCAGCATCCACCCCTGAGTGCCTGCCAGTCTCTGCAGGTCACCAGTTCATGAAATCAAGTGTCCCCAGACAGCTGAGCCTGCTCCCACCACCACGGACACGTTCCCACTTTCTCCAAACTGTCTCCAGCCTGGCTCAGTGATTTATTTCTCTAATTCTGTTTTCATGAAAGCAGAGACCAAAGGAAATTACTGTGGATAAACAGATTAGCTGTGGCAACTCCATGCCAAGTGTACAATGAGCATTTTGGCCTCCCAATCCCATCTGACACCACTGCTCTCCTACCAAGCAGGAGGCACAAAAGGCTCTTTGTGCTCCGTGACTAACTCAGGAAACAAACCAAGGCATTGAAGGCAGGAAAGAGCCAACGTTCCTGGGAGCAGCTGTCTGCTCCAGTGCAGCTCAGACTGGAAAACAGTCCTGCTCAGGCACCTGAATTTGAACTTCTCACAACCTAAACCCAAAGCAGGAACATCCTGAGACTGGAGCAGGAGACACACACAGCGTTAACCACTCTGCTTCCCTAATCCTGGCATGACACAGGGGATTCCCTGCTCCCAGGGATCCCAGGAAATTCCTCCAGATGGTCATTAGCATCACTACCTGTCCTCATTCATACCTTCAGATGCTCTGTGAAAGGGATTGTTTCAAATCACATGGAATTCTATGCCATTAAGAGCTTTGGGAACTTAGAGTTTCATAGGTTAAGGGGTTGGAATGGAGCTTAGAGATCATCTATTCCCAACCGTTTGCCCTGGACAGGGAAACCTCCCACCAGAGGTTGCTCAAGGTTTTATCCAACCTGGAATGAACATTGCCAGGGTTGGAGCAGCCAAAGCCTCCCTGGGGCAACCTGTGCCAGTGTCTCACCACCCTCCTAGGAAAAAGACTTATGATGTCATGTATCCTGGAATATCCCACTGGGGTCAGCTGTCCTGGCTCTGTCCCCTCCCAGTTTCCCCAGTCCCTTACCAGTGTGGCAGTGCAAGGAGCAGGAAAGGTCTTAGCTCTGGGTGAGCACTAACAAAAGATCATTGGATCATCCACCCTGTGCTCAGCACAAATCCAAACTCAGCCCCACAGCAGCCACTGGGAAGGAAATTAACTCTACACCAGCCCAAAGCAGCCCAAGATTGTTTGGGGAGTGAGGGGAAGAGGATTCCTACTCATTGCCACATGCAGATATCAACCAGAACTTGGGTGTAGGAAGTGACTTAAAACATAAACACAGCCCTGAGGGGAGAAGGAGGCAGAGTGGATGTTTGGAGGGATGATGTTTGCCTTCCCAAGGAAACAGGGAATTAATTCCTTGGTTTACCTTGCTTTTGCTTCTCCCTTTAAACTGTTTATCTTAACCACTTTTCCCCTTCCAATCCTCTCCCCATCCCAGCAGAGGGAAGGAGTGTCTCTGTGGGGCTTGGCTGCTCCTTGGGGTCAAACCACAACACTTTGGTTCAGTCTAGCCTAAGTTGGTGGGTTTACACCATACAAATTAGCTACACTTCATAGACTACTTCAAGTGATACTGAGCACAACTGTTCCACCTAAAGAGAATCCTTCATATGGCATTTAATTCCATGCCTCGAGCCGATGTATAGCACAGAGTCAGGATCAGGTAGAGGGTTTTTGAGGATAAGGAAGCAGATGGAACCCTATAAAATATACTCCATGCAAACCAGACTGCAGCACAAGCAGTGCTGTGGGTGGAAATCCAGAGCTCTTAAAATATTCCAAAGCTACAAGGAAATGAAGACATTTCCATAGTTCAAAAATGGAGTTTTTTAGTGTCACCTTTGAGACAATCAAGTTTGATAAGAATCTAAACCCCAGAACTGCATATAAATATTCTACTACCAAAACTACTTGAGGTTCTCCTCATTTTTTATTTTTTATTTTTTTGCTCAGGATATGAAGTGACTCTGGCAAAACAGCTGGTTGACCACAAGCAATTCCCAGCTACATGCAGCCCTTTCCCTGTCAAGACAACAACATTCCCACACATACCATAAGCTTCATAGGTTTCCTGTGCCTCCCCATGTCCATAATCATAGTATTCTGTGTCCCTGGAAGAGCAATTAGGTGGTTACACAGTGAAATCACTTTCTCACACTCACATAACTTGCACGAGCACTGGGAAAACAAAGATGCCCAACACTGTTCCTGTTATTTCCCACGGCACTTTACCTAAAGCTCAGGCTCAGAAAGGAGTGTTTCCATTCCCTTCAGATAGGGGAAAAAAAACCGACAAGGTCATGCATGAATTCCTCAGAAGAGAGAACACACTCACCCCTGGCCCTGGCTGTAGTAGCCTTCATACCCCTCATAGCTCTGGTCTGCGTATGTGTCGTCATAGCCCTGAAACAGAGGATGACACAAACAGTGTTCATGGAAGGGCCAAAGGTTAATGCCCTAGGGATGGCAGAGCTGATTCCAGCCCACAGCAGCTTCCAGAGGAGCCTGGAAATCCTTGCCAGCCACAGGGAAGGGGCTCAGCCATGAGACAGAGGTAGCTGAGACCTCCTGTGGCTTGGGACGAATGAATCATACTCATATTTATCATGCAATTGGAAGTCAGTTCATGCCCAAGGCTGGAGCTTGTCACCCAGCACCATCCCAGTGATCCCTGGTGATCTCAGTGGTTACTGATGATCCCAGCACCATCCCAGTGATCCCTGGTGATCTCAGTGGTTACTGATGATCCCAGTACCATCCCAGTGATCCCTGGTAAACTCAGTGATCCCTGGTGCTCCCAGTGATCCCTGATGACTCCACCACCATCCTAGTGATCCCTGGTGATCTCAGTGATCCCTGATGACTCCACCACCATCCCAGTGATCCCTAGTGATCTCAGTGATCCCTGATGACTCCAGCACCATCCCTGGTGATCTCAGTGATCCCTGGTGCTCCCAGTGATCCCTGGTGACTTCAGCACCATCCCAGTGATCTCTGGTGGTCACTTCCCCACAGCAAACCCCCATCAGTCAGAGCACCTGGCCTGACCCACCCCCCTCGATGCCAAGCAGTTCCTTACATATTCCTCGTAGGTGTCCGGGGCAGGAGGTGGTGGGAGGGGTATCCTCTGGATTCCAGCTGCCCTTGCTCGGGGGGCAGGAGCCCCTCTCACTGCTGGGGGAGGAGGAACCCCCCGGGCTACTGCAGCTCCCCTGCCCATAGCCCCTCTGACTGGGGCCCCTCGCACCAGGGCCCCCCGAGGAGGAGGAGGAGGAGGAGGACCAACCCCACGGCCCCTGGAAGGAGAGAAAAGGACTGTGAGCTCATCACGTGTTGGATGCTGCAGGTGGCACAAACACTTAGATCTGCTTGAAAAAGCAACAGCTTGATGGTTAAATTCAGTGCTATCAACCAAGCCATGAATTCTTTAGCAGCATGCGAATTATTCACTCTGTTGTGCTCCAGGGTTTACACACAAACCTCCTCGGGGATGAGCTTGGCTGCACTGGGTGTTGTACAGACAAAGGAATGAAGCTGACACAACTCTGGGCAGGTAATTTCTCAGTTCACTTCAAATAAACCTCTCTCCCTGACCTGGAGTGACTGTCAGGCCTCACTGCTGAGATGAGGAGGAACATTTCTGGGTTGAACAGGCAGATTCATATTGGATGTCAGGAAAAATGTTTTCCCTGTGAGGGTGTTCAGCCACTGGAATATTGCCCAGGGAGGTGGAGTCACCACTCCTGGAAGTGTTTAAGATGCTGGATCTGGAGGATCTGGTTTAGGGGTTACAGCAGTGACATGAATGGTTGGACTTGATGATTTTAGAAGTCTCCTCCAACCTTGTTGGTTCTATGGTTCTAAGCAAAAGACACTACCCCATGAAACAGGTAATGAGGCAAGAACTATACTAACAGTTTTCTTGCCCATTTATCCCAAAAGCCTTGACAGCCCTGACAGAAAAACACCATCCCAGAGCCCTCCAAGCATGGCAGGATTGAACTGACAGTGCTTGTTCTGCTGAAGGCTGCACCACATCTATCCACCCATGGCTTCACAGGTCAGATTTTGAGAGGTTACTTGATAAAACTATTGATTACAGACATCCAAATAACACAGAAGACACACACACTCTGTCAGGTTACATCTCAAAACATGCAAAACAATGGGTGGCAGGGTGGAAAGCCTTGGGCAAACGCCAAGGTCGAGCCCAACAGATGATGTGCCAGAACAAGCAGCTTAACCTCCTCTGACAGGACAAATTTGAGCAAGATGAAGCATTTCCAGGTCTGTGTTTTTGGGAAAGATACCTTGGAACAGGTGGAGGAGGTGGTGGAGCTGCTCCCCTTCCCCTGCCAGGGACTCCTCGGCCACGATTCGGTTCTGGCACTCCATTCAGGTAGGAGAGCTCCAGGAATTGCTCCTGGCAGATATGCAGCTTAACCTCCTCTGACAGGACAAATTTGAGCAAGATGAAGCATTTCCAGGTCTGTGTTTTTGGGAAAGATACCTTGGAACAGGTGGAGGAGGTGGTGGAGCTGCTCCCCTTCCCCTGCCAGGGACTCCTCGGCCACGATTCGGTTCTGGCACTCCATTCAGGTAGGAGAGCTCCAGGAATTGCTCCTGGCAGATATATCATATC